TGCTTCCTTACTCTCACTTCACCACATAGTCCCATTACCTGGACTTCATGATAAGCAAGCCTCATGGACATGTGCTGCCTGCCCTTCTTCTCCTCCCCTCCTCTCCTCTCCCCTGACCTGGAGCAGAGCTTGGCTAAACTTCATAAGGGAGACCGCACTGAAGTCCCCAGGGCAACACCCTTAGATCTGCAGCCAGAGTGGGCCTACCAGTCTACACCGTGGCATCCCTGGGCACCAAGCAGGTTTTTGCTTGTTAACTTCCAGGGTCTTCTGGGGCCTTCTGTATTTAACACTACCGGCAGTGGTAAATACTGTCTCTTGATGTTTTTTCCCTCTCTTTTAGACATCACACCCCCCCTTACCATACCACATAAAAAAAGATACCCCAGATTTCCCTCCAGACCTTGCCCCCTGGCCTGGGGCTGAGGCAGCTGGGTAGGGGTTTTGTTTGTAATTCACTTGTACCTCCTGAAGGCTGGGCTGTGGACCCCCAGCAGGTGGCATTCCCAGTATCTTCAGTCAAGGGAAGGACTGCCTCTCTGCCTGTGTTCGGGCCTGTGACACCACTGTCAACAGTTGAGATGGGCCTAAGGAAGTCGGCGTGAGCAGAGAGATGAATCATGATGTTTGGCTTCTTGCCCTATGCCCATAAAAGTGGCATTTCCTTAAATAGATCAGAACCTTAATAACTATTTAAAGAACATGTGGTAGTAGGGGGTGTATTTTATGGCCTTTAATTAAACTTCAGACAAATTAAAACATTTTTAACGATGTTTTATGACATTTTTTATCCTTTTCCGTGGAGATTTGTGTAATCTTTTTGCTCACTTACCCCACTCCCTCAACTCTCAGGGCATACAAGGGCACACCAAAGTGGGGCCACCTGAAGGCTGCAGGCAGAGGACAGCATCATGTCTTAGTCATAGGAGCAGGTGAAGGCTTCTGGCCCAGCTCAGGAAGGAGCAAGTGGGAAACGCCCAGCTGGTCCTGTGGAGGGGTGTGAGGTGTTGGGCGATTTTACGAGTCTAGGTCTGAGTTTTTATGATCGTGAAAAGGACAGCAGATGGGCTTGTGAAGCAGGCCATGTCCATCTTCCCTGTCAGATCTCTTAGTGGACATTTCTTAGATGGGAGGTCCTGGATGGGAGGATGTGCGCCTGTAGGAGAAAATGTGACAGAGCACCTCATTTGAGTCTGTGCTGAATGCTTTCTTGAACTTTTGTTGACACATATCATAACCATCTCCTTTTTGTCCACCTAGTCCAAACATAGACTTACCTGAAAGAGTAGAAAAATCCTGAGTTGACCTGAAAACCAAATGCAAAATCTGAATTCATTAATTAGAAACTTACATTACAGTTACTAGTATGTTCCATTGTCCCTATTTTAAAAAGAAAATTGTTCCCTTCTTACAGAGCTTGGCGCCATTGCCTGTGAATAGTGAGCAATAGAAGGTTCTTCCATTAGTGTGCATATTCCCCTCAAAACACCATTTTGGGGCTTTAAGAATAGTTTATTTTAAAGGTGTTGGCTGGCTTGCTGAAGCAGCCATCCATGTAGGGGTCAGGACCTGTGTGGATGGAAGGCCCTCGATCCTCCGCAGCCCCTGCGCTGATCTGCAAAATGTAAATGGGCCCTTCTGCCCAGAGAAGTGCACTTGGGCTTTACAGTCAAGGGTTTTTCCTTATGCCCCGAAAAATGCCGCTTTTTAAAAATAGTCCATTTCTAGACAACCTTTGTGAAATAAACATGTCAAAAAGCATATCTGTGAATGTCGTAAGACCATTACGGATAATTGAACTTTGCGATGAGGTGGCTTCTTAAAGCTAAATTAATAGCCGCGGAATCAAGAGCTCCACAGAGGAAGCCAGGGGACTTTTCTAGCACCCTTTTCGGCCTCAGAGAACCAGCTTTGTTGTTTATATAGACTTTTCTCTGTTCAATCTGCATTATTTCCCAGTAGTTTGATTTTTCAGCCCTGATCCTCAAAAACAGTGAAACAAGCAGTGAGATGGGGAGCGGAGGGCGCAGGCCCAGCGCTGTTGTGGTGGCTTGGGTGGTGGCAGCCTTGCCTGGGGCCAGCTTTCTCAGATGTTAGGCTTTTCTCCACTTGCATCGAAGCCCCAGCCTCATTTTCCCCCAGGGTCTCTCGGGATGGGTGAGGAGGTGGAGGGACAGGGGTGGGCAGAGCACTCAGAGGCCTCACTTGGATTCGATGCGTTGTGGCCTCGCTGTCCCTTGTGGGGTACAGTGCCCAGCCTGGCTCCCTCCAACTGGCGGAGGCTGAGACACCTGCCAGCCTGCCTGGGCTTGGACTTCGGAAGTTTGGTTGTCAGGTACTTCAAAGTTAACTCCCCCTACCCTGGAACTCGAGAAACCATTGTTCCTCATTGTTTAAATTTCTTTGGCATGTTTTGTAAATGAAGTCGCTGCTCTGCCTGGAGGTTCCAGGCTTGAGGTCAGGTTTGTGTTGAGGAAGCTGGGGAAGGCTGGGGTTCCCACAGCTGGGGAGCTGGGGCGCAGCCGTTTCCTCTGCTGTAGGAGCCTCTGGCGTGCGGCGTGGGGAGGCCAGGCACGTAGGCGGCTCTGCCAGACGCCTGCCTTTCAGGGAGCTGGAGAGGGGGCTGCGGCGGCAGGAAGTGGAGATTTGTTTTCCTCCAGAAATGAATGTGGCCTCCGGGGGCAAGGGCTGGGAGTCCTCAGCGGCCACGTGTTGCCGCCGGCCTCACACAGGGCTTGGACAAGCCAGTAAGAGGCTGCTTGCCCTGTCGTCTGTGCGATGGTACGAGGTGCCCTCGGCTCTTTGATCAGGGCACTTGTCACGGGATCTGGTCGGGTTCCTAGGAGGAGCATGGCTGGGCTTGGGACGGGACTGAGTTTGAATAACCACCCAAATCAGCTCTGGAACCTGGGCCTCCTTATCTAAAACTGCTCCTGGGTGATGGTGGGATTAAGGTGACACCCTGTCCTCCCTGCTGCTGGCCCAGCACCTTGGACAGGTCACTTCCCTTCCCTGGTTCCAGTTTCCTCCCAGCTGGCACCCACACCCCTGGCTGGCTGCTTCCTGAGATTCCGATGAGATGAAGGAGGCCCGTTTGCTGTGTCAGCCATCAGCAGTAACTCTCGGACACCGCTGGTTGCACCCTCACAGGAGGCAGGGACTGTCATTGTCCGCCGGAGAGGGGGCCGGTCAGGGTTGGGACAGGAATGCTTGCCTGGGCTGTGTCTTCATGGCCAGGAAGTGTGGGAACTGCAGCCTGGAGGCAGGGAGGACCTACCCGGCCCGGTGGCCAGGGAAGGGTTGGCGGGCTCACTCATAGAGGCCAAGTCAGATGGCCCTGAAAGCTTGCTGAGACCTTCCCTGGGACTCTTGGCAGGTTTGCATCCTTTTGTGCTTTAATCTGGTAATTTTCCTCACCACAGTTTCTGAACAATGCTTTCAGGCCAGATTGGCGAGACTGGCCGCCCCAGATAATCGGGTTACCAAGGGGAAATGACCTCTGGAATGATTACCCACAGAGCTGCCACCTTTTTGAAGGCTTGTGCTTGAGTGGAAGCCCCCCCAGAGGATAGCATTCTGGGTGTCTGCAGTCAGGGGCCAGAGAAATCATTTCAGTGACAAGGCCGATGAAAAGATCAGCCCCACTCTCTTCCATGCTACTCGCTCTTTTTGTAAGGGGACTGACCGCAAGCTGTGAGTCTGGATTAAGACCGTCTTCCCGGAAGGGCCACTTGCCCAACTTGGTCCTATCCTCCCCACCTGCCTCCGTCCATGAGCCCCAGGTCCCCTACTTGGTGTGAGGACCTAACAGTTTGTAAACCTGGGGTGAGGGATGGCAGAGTTTGTAAAACCCTATACACATACACACAGTATTTGTATCGCTGTGATCGCTTGTCCCTGGGAGGAGTGGCAACCTGTATCCAGGAGTGGGGGGGTTGCCTTCACTAATAAAGTCTGGGCTTCCCAGTACCCTAGGAGCTAACCCTTGATGCAGTTGAAGTCTGTGTGAAAGAAACAGTGGGGCCTCAGACAAGAGGTGTTTGGGAAGTGCTCTCTTTTTCAATCTGTGGCATTTACATAAAGTGTGTGAATTTCTAAAATTTAACTGGAGTTTCAACTTCAAAAGGATTTTTTTTTTTTTTAAAGATTTTATTTATTTATTTGAGAGAGAGAGAATGAGAGACAGAGAGCATGAGAGGGAGGAGGGTCAGAGGGAGAAGCAGACTCCCTGCCGAGCAGGGAGCCCGATGCGGGACTCGATCCCGGGACTCCAGGATCATGACCTGAGCCAAAGGCAGTCGCTTAACCAACTGAGCCACCCAGGCGCCCCTTCAAAAGGATTTTTGCAAATAAAGGTAAAGGCTACATAATAGCCAAACTGTGTTATCATATGGTCAACTATTTCCGACTATGTTACTTTTATAGTTGCAAATAATTTACTATGAATGTGGAAAGAGACACCAAGAAAGTCAAGGTGATGCGTGGAGAGGCTCTGTGGGAAAGCACACAGCCCCAGCATCAATTGGCTCCCAGTGTCTCCTAAGGCAGGAAGGCAGCTGTTGACGTCCTCAGAACACAGAGGTTTTGATGGACTGTAAATCTGTGCCTAGAGCCCTAACAGGGGAGGTCAGGCGGAATCATAACTTCTTAACATAGCACTTTTGCTCCCCAGGGCCCCATGAGGCTGCAGAGCTGCCAGACCAGCTCCCTGTGCCCAGAGTTCTTCCCATGAGGGGGAGGTGGCTCAGATGTGTGCGGCCAAGGGGGCAGTGACCCTGTGGGTGGTGGGCAGGATGGGATGGGCACCCGCTGAAAAGTCCAGTCCCTGACACCTGCCGGTCTTGGGACATGACCCCTAGCACACTGTGCCTTCTCCAGAGGCTCCCCCTGCCTGGGGTTTGGAGGCCATGTGGCATCCGAGGTCGCCTTCCCCCTCCTCAGCATGCTCCTGAGAAGATCGCAAGGTGTATTACTTACACCTTATTTTTCTTTTCCTTCAGAATATTGACATTACAAACTTCAGCAGCAGCTGGAATGACGGACTGGCCTTTTGCGCTCTCCTGCATACGTACCTTCCGGCCCACATTCCGTATCAAGAGCTGAACAGCCAAGATAAGGTAGGCTGGCTGTGAAACAGCCCAGCTCCTGGCGTCCTTACCACACAGGGGAGACAGAGCCTTCCAGCAGCAGGGCCCCCACCACGGTGCTGGCTCACAGCGGCCCCATCCCAACTTGGTCTTATTCTGGGATTGAGCTGTTAGTGCTGAGCCAGCCAGTCCCTGACCTTGTGTGGGACATTTGGTGGGTTCAGCATTCCCCAAGTTACAGCATTCCCGGTGGGAGCGCTCAGCCTTCCTGGGTGATGACATTTAGGATCACGAGCTTTATACCCTTGAGAGCCGCTCAAGGCATGAGTGGTCTGGGCAGTGCTTCCCATGCCAGGTCAGTCCTCTGCCAGCCCCGTGTGGTCCAGCCATCCCACTCACGGAGCTGCTTGGGGACAGCCCCTGTCCAGATGGGCACTGGCAGAGGTCCCCGGCATGAGCCCTCCTCTGGTTCCCTCCTGCCCTCAGATAATGCTTGAAATTCCTCCCGGGGGGGTAGCTCACTTGACAGGTATTTCTGATCGGCTTTTGGGGTCCGGGTCCAGGCGGCTCAGGACTGATGTGTTGAGAGTGGCCCTTTTGCACAGTGAGGAAGGAATGAGCGTGTGGAGATTGCTCCACGGACGGTCACGAGAGGAGCAGCTGGGCCCTGCAGAGGGGCAGTCAGGGTTGATGGGGGCTCCAAGGGCTCCAGCATAGGTTTGTTCTGGTCCCAAGTGGAGGTGGCTGTCCGTCTTCCCCAGCATCGTGAGTAGTGCAGGCCGCCTTCTTCCTGGCCTTGCTTGTCCATTCCAGTAACACAGTTTGTTTTACAGCGAAGGAACTTCACCCTGGCCTTCCAGGCGGCCGAGAGCGTTGGCATCAAATCCACACTGGTGAGTCACTGGCAGGGCCCCTCCTTTTTGTTCGGAAGAGTTTCCTTCTCATTAAGGGAGATCTGGGTGGTGTGGTGGCCTGATGAGCAGGGGGCTAGTGGGTGGGGCTGGGGGGCCACCCTGGCCACCCGAGCGAGTGTCCCGTCAGGGGTGCAGGCAGGGTTTCACCTCAGTCCCATGGGCACTTTATGCCTCATGTGAATTGTCTTGAGGGAGCGGTCTGAGGTGGGTAGAGTCATCCTGACCACAGCCCGGCAACTTTGACTTCCTCAGAGTCACCTTTTCTAGTTGAATCCCTGGGTTCAGAAGAAAAAATACTAACAAGTTTATAGCAAGTCACTGTCAGAGGCATATTCCTGCAGGTCTCTCTACCTTTTGTCAAACTAGAGGGAGAGGGGAGGCGATGCAAGGCAAAGAAGAAGGCTTTAGAGGCTGAGCAGGCGCTCCCGCGCTTCAGGGGCCGTGGCACATGCCACTCATGGGGGTTGGGGGGCATGAGTTGTAGCAAACCCTCGCATTTCAGGGTCGTCAGGCCGCTGCCCGGCACCCACAGTAGCTCCCAACAGCTGTGCTTCCATCAGAGCTCTTGCCCCGTCACCACGTCTGACTTTCTGAAGAAGATACTGCGTCCAGATGCAAAGCCAGGCCTTCCATACCCAGCGACACTTAGATTATATAAACTCGGGACCGCAGCGGTGGTGTCATCCAGCGACACGCGGCGGCCAGTGCACAGCTGGGGGAGTTCCGCAGAGTAAGAGCCCCGTGAGGCCAGGTCACTGCCCCAAGGGCATCCCTCGCCCTGACTAGTAACATCTGGGTGGCTTTGAAGAAGTGTTTACATTCATATTTACCCCAACAGGAGTGTTTGTGTAGAGTTCCAGAAGTGTATCTTCTGACTTGATAGAAATAGGCTTGTTTAGGGTGGCCTCTATTCCGTTGTACAGAGAGAAAGAGAAGTTACCATTATTGAAATGTTTTGTTATCCTGGTATTTTACATCACATGTAAAGTTCCAACATATAAAAAGTGGGCCATTTCCACCCCTCCAAAAAAAAACCTTTATATTGATCAAGATCTTATATTGAACAAACATGTTTTCTTTTTTCTGTACCAAGTCACCAATGGGTGGCCCGTTCCATCCTGCTGGCCATGGCCTCACCTATGGAACCTCCCAGAGCAGTGCTCTGGAGCGAGGCTCCCCTGGAAAGTGACGGATGTTCTTCAGCAACAGTGGGTCTCTTCTGGGGGCCTCCCAGTCCCGTATCCAAGTCCTGGGTTTCCCACGTTCGTTTTCATCAGCTGGCATCTCACAGATGACTGGTATTCTGCAGGGTACAATTAGAAAACAGTGTCTTTGATGCTTTCAGATGGTTGCCATGGTGAAGGGCACTGGAAAGTTGAGTTCTGGGAACCCTGGGCACACAGAGACTCTCCTAGGACAGAGACTAGGGTGAGAAGTGCTCTCAGAAGCGAGCACATGGAGCGGTTTAAGAAAAGAAGCAGACAGGGATTGAGGCCGCAAAGACGAAAGCCAGCCTCAGAGGGCCGTGGCCAGGAGCAGGGGCGCCCCGGTATGTGGCTCTGGGGCAGGGCTCGGGCACAGATGGGCAGCTCAGGGACCATGCGGACGCTTCCAGGCACACTCGGCAGTGAGGGAGCAGGCATCCCAGCCAGGCCTTCAGCGGGTGTGATCAGGCTTGGCCCAAAGTCAGAGGCCCCGCCCCGTGCAAGGGCCCATGTAGCTGTCGGGGAGCCTGTCGGGATGGGCCCAGGGGTGACCCGGGGTTCTAACCAGGTTTCTTCCTTCTCCGCCAGGACATTAATGAGATGGTGCGGACTGAGCGGCCTGATTGGCAGAGCGTGATGCTCTACGTGACCGCAATCTACAAGTACTTCGAAACCTGAGCACACCGGAAGGACTCTCCCCGTTACCAAGTGACACCAGCGCCATTAGCTACGCACCCCGTAAAGCTTTCAGCGACTCTCTGGGCCGCCCTGCAGCGTGTGAGCCTTCAGCCGGGGCTTCTGAGTCAGGAGAACTCGGGCCTCCATGGCCCCCGGCTCGCGGCCGGCTCCGCGCACACGACCCGTCCGGCCAAGGTCGGCGTGGGCTCCACGCACGGCGCACACGCTGTTTGCTGCCAGAGTTTTTTCTGAAGAGAATATTGAACTGCATTAGTGCCGTGGGGTGTAAAAACCAGCTCATGCGCAGCTCAAGTCGGGGAAGGGGCTGAAACTCTGGGGGCAGCTCATGGGGGGTTAGTGAAAGCTTCAGCCACAGTGCTTTTTGACTACTCGCCGGTGCGGCTTCTGGCACCCGTGAGAACCAGGCCGGGGACTCGGTGCCTGACAGAGGTGCCTGGAGAGCAGGCTGTGGCCCTGGATGTGGAGGGCCATGGAGTGCATCACCATGGCAGTGGGGCGGCCACTGATTGCACGTGGCAGGGCTGGCCTGGCCTGCGTGATTTAGGTGTTTACAACTTGAGCTAACAGATGATCGTGACTCGAGGTTCCGGCTGGTGGCGCCCGCCGCTGCTGAAGGGTTGGTTTTGCGCCTGGGCCCCCGTCGAGCAGAGGCAGCCCCCTGGCCTCGCCGCTGCCAACCTGTCCTTTAGCCTGGAAGGGGCTTGGGAACCCAGCTCTGACTTTAGGTTTCTGGACAAAAGAATTGGTCAAAAGGAGTTCTAGTTAAAAAAAATTTTTTTTCCTTAAGAGCAATATTGGGGGAAGATACCTCCTGTTGTGTTAGTACCAAAGTTAAATTGTCTTAGTAAACATAGAGATAAAACACAAAATCTGGACGCGAGCATGGTGAAAGCCAGAAATGAAGTCAGAAGTAGCAGGAGAAAAAGCCGAACAGCTGGAGGGAGCCCAGCCGGGTAATTTAAAGTCACTGAGTCACTCAGATGAAATCCTCCTGGGCAAGAATTTAAGGAAGTGCCTTCAGTCTCCTTGCACGGGTACACCGGAGAGAGGGTCTTGGAGGCCGCTGTGACCACAGCCAGAGCAGATGGTGTCAGGGCTGGTGGCCTGCAGCCCCATGATGGAGTTGGTCCCTTGCCACGCACGCCAAATGACAGGCAGCCGCACCAGCACCCCTTCCATGCGGTGGAATCGAAGCCTTATGAGGGGTTCTGTTGAGGCGACTCTCAGGCTGGGACCCAGCCCTTCTTGGAAATAGGGATCCCACATCTCATGCACCTAACACAGTAGCTGTTGGTTTGAACAGTGTCGAGACCTGTTGCTTCTAGAATACAACTGTGTTTGGTGCCTGCAAAGTAGCACGAGGAAGAGTTGCCACCAGTGGGAGCAGGATTGCTGCCCCAGCCACAGGATGCGAAGAAGGCTGCCCAGCCAGCACGTGGGCCCGGGGGTTCTGCGTTCATGCGTGATGTTCTAGACTAGGAGTATGACGTGTCTGTAGCCTAGGAAAGAACGTGGTTATTGTGCAGTGGGCTGTGTGTGTGTGTGTGTGTGTGTGTGTGGCCTGCTGGCCCACGGTCACCAGCTGGCTGGTAAGTGCCCGTCAACCCTGCCCAGATGCCCTAACCTGGCAGCCCTGGCTGCCGCCCCAGCTGGAGGCTTTTTGTGAAATGCCTGTTTTCAGCTAAGGAAGGTGAGGCTCAGTGAGCAGAATCCAGCCCCAGAGCGCACCAGAAGACCCTGGCGGTTACCTGTCCCCATCCTCCCTGACCAGGTTCCATTCTGGCTTCTGTTGTTCTGTGGACAGGTGCCCTGTGCTGTCAGATGAGGGACTGTTAGGTGAGAATTACACTTTTTTAAATGTCTCTCCACTCGGTCTTCCTGAGTCCCACTTTCGCTCTCATTTGCCCTCATGGAAGCCTGTGCTCTTGTCTGGACCCAGTGTGTCTGACTGTGGCCATGTTTTTATTTATTATGGTTGGGGGGTGCTTTTTTGTCCGATGAAGACGACTTTCCTGGGTCGGCAGTTCACACATTGGTCCCTTCCTAGCCAAGTGAGCCAGCTGTGGCAGCTCATGCTGGGGGGCCTGGGGCTGTGCCCACAAGGCTGTCATTGGGGTCAGTGACTGGAAGGGGTGGCCGCAGGAAGTGCCGGGACCAGGCCCAGCCTGTTTAAGGGCCCATCTCTGCCTCCCTGACAGAGGCTGTGCAGGGGTGCCCAGCCGGGCCGCCTACATTTGCATGTGGGTCCACAGGCGAGAAGATTCTAGAAGCATGACTTTTCTTTTTCTAATAGGATCTTTTTATAACACTGTTGGCTTTATGGGTTAATTCTAGGTGGTCATATATACCTAAAAGTGCTACTGTGAGGTGCTTTTGGTCCAGTGACCCTTGACGTGAAGCCTCCAGGAAGTCATTTTGCCTCTTCTCCCTTCAAGCACAAGCTTTCCTGCAAAAGGGCCAGTTACATTTCTGTGTCTCTCAACCACGGGCTTCTGCTGACTGACAGTACTTTTTTAAAAATTTTGTTCTATTAAATATTCTCGAATGTATTAAAATTGCTGAAATGCATCAGGCTTGGGCTTTTCTAGCTCGACACTTCAGCTGCTCCCCTGACGTGGTGTGAACAGGGCCTTGGCCGCCCCCCGGGACTGGCTGTGGCAGGAGGAGGGCTCCTGAGCCCAGGCTCCATCCCCTCTGGCTACCCCTCCCCTGCAGCTCACAGGCCAGGAAATGTGTTGGGGGGAGGACCTGGGGAGGGGCGGGTGCTGGGGTCTGCCAGGTCCCACCCTGGGCTGCAGAGCAGAGCTACGGGCCAGATGCCCAGGCCTGAGACCCCAGAAGCCCTGCCCAAGTTACCCTACAAGAACGGAAGCCCTGGCATTCCCCAGTGGTAGCCCAGACATGTGCTGTGGGGAACAGAGTGGTGGGGAGGGGGTGCCTTGAGGGTTGTTGTTTTTTTTTTTTTCCCTAGCAGTGCATCTTCTTGGAGATCATTTTCAGAATATATAAAATTAGAGGGAAAAGAATCGGTAATTATACCACTCAGAGCACGCAAACCAGTCAAGCCTTTTTTTCCCTGCGCATCTTGTGTGGGATGATTATGAATCCACGGAGCGCAGCCCAGGACAACACTGGGGCTCGTCACACTGTGCATGCTACGTGTCCCACGTGGAAGGGCCTGTGGGATCACCCCCTGACACAGTGACCTAGGGGGCCTTTCCTGGGCCCAAGACCCCCTTCCCAGGGCCGGCGTCCGGCCAGTAAGTGAGCTCACAGCTGGGGGGCCCCAGAGCCCATGGCCTGAGTTGAGGTGTGGCCTGTTGAGTGCCGACAACCGCGGGCGTCCACCGTGGCCCGGCTTCCAGAACGCAGCACCCGAGTCCTTGGGGTACAGAGCTGGGCAGGGTAAAGACTGCGCTGGGACTGGGGCTGCCTCCGGCTTCTCCCCACTTGCCAGCTGTGGGGCCTGGGGTGCTCGCTTAGACACGGTGGGAGCTCCTGCCCTTTGCCGGAGTGTAAGGCGGTCGCTCGGCTGGGAACAGCAAGAGGCCTCTGCGACCAGCATGTTGGGCTCTGTGTGCAGTGCGCACCAGTCACAGTGGCAGGAGGGGTGACCCGCCCCCCAGGACCCCTGGGCAGCAGGGACAGAACGGGCTGTCTAAGCTGCTGCCCCTCAGGTGTGGAGTCTGCCCTCCCCAAAACATCCCTCCCACCTGCCTGTCATGCCCGCTGCCTCCGGAGCCGACTGAGGCCGGCCATGGGGAGTCCTGTGTAGCCTGACTTCCTAACCCGCTCACAGCCTGGTGGCTCCCGGTGGGGCCAGCCAGGGGCTCTGCTTTCCTAGACACAGTGCTTGCTCTTCCTGTCCCAGGACAGCACGTCTGGGGAGGGAACTGTTACCACCTTGAGTTAGGGAAGGTTCTAGAACCTCTTTGGGGGGGGGGGTTTGATGGGTGGAAGCAAGGAAACAAGTTCAAGAAGGAGAGATCCAGAAAAGATCTCACAACCCCCTATCCACAGTCTCGCAGGGCTGGGGTCCTAGACCTTGGGTGGCCATGCCCTGGTGACACAGTGGCCAGCTCTTTGGCCCTATCCTTGCAGGGCTGCGCTTCCCACACCCTTGGTCTGGCCTGAGTTCTGTTTCAGGTTGTCCTTTAAATGGAAGGCAGGGCGGATAGAGGGGGTCTTGTGCTCTGCACCGGGTAGATGAGGAGTGGATTCTGGTCAGGGCCAGGCTGTGGGGAAAGCAGGAGCTCAGCCTACCAGGTCAGGGCTTCGCTGGGCCGCACCTAGTGCATCTGTGCGGGAGGCAGGGTGGGGGCCTGGGAGGACAGGGCTCCACAGTCCCTGGGCCTGGCTCATACTGTGGGAGGGCGGGCTGAGGGTGGCGGTAGGCCTGGGAGCTGGGGGGCTGGGAGGGCGGGTCAGAGGGGTGGAGAGTGACGGGGCACAGCCTGCCATCTCTGCCACCAGATCCGAGCCAGACCCAGAGCAAGGAAAGGCCCCAAGAGTCCCTGGAGGATGTCTTCATTATTGAGTGTGTGTGAGTCCCGGGTTCTTAGAAGAGGGTCACAGTCCTAGGAGGAGGGCTGGGGAAGAGCACAGGACAGGCAGGTCACCAGGACCCACTGGGCAGGAGGCAGGTTGCACCGAGTGGGGGTTGGGATTACCCGGGTGCCCCCCACTCCCAGGTCTGGCACCAGCTTGTGACAGGCTGGGGCTCTTCTCACCTCTGCAATCTGATGACCCCCCCCCCCCCCCCGCTGACCCCAGAGAGGCCCCTGCGGTCTCTCCTACCAGATACCCTGCTCTTTGCGAAGTGGGGTAGGGAAGTGCCTGGCAGGGCATGGGGATAGGGGTGCGGGGAGGGTGGGGAGAAGGCAGCTGGCTTGATGTTCTGGCTGCTCCTGCGTGCCAGTGCCTGCGCTCCTGGCTTGGAGCCATTCTTCGGGTGGTGAGTGACAGGCCCTGGCATGCGTGTGGTCCCTGTCCGCCCTGTAGCCCAGGAGGAGGTCCCTGTCCTGTCAGGACCTCAGCTCCCACATCTGCACACGTGTGCCCAGATCAGCTCAGAGGTGCAGAGTACCTAGTGGGGTTGCTGTCTGACACCCGGAAGCCAGTGTGGGCTGGAGCATCTTTCTGGGGACTGGGCTGGGGGGTCAGGGCCCTGCTCTCGTGGCTGCCGCGCCTACAGATGGTTTGGGGAGCTTCCTCTGGCATGATTCTGTCTTCTTGGGGCCTGCTTTAGTCTAAGCAAGAGGTCCCCCACTTCCTCAATTCCAGAGCCCCAGGAAGTGTGCAGTGCCCCTCCCATTTGAAGAAGTTGGTGAGTACCTTAGGGTGGCCTGGTTGGTTCACAGGGACACTGGCCCCAGCACCCACCGGGTGCTTTGTCCTGGGTCTGCCATTGCTTTCCCCCTGATGTGGCCCAGCTGGCCCCAGAGCAAACAATCAGGGTCCAGAGGCCACCCAGGTGCATCCTGGACAGGAACAAAGCCGGCTGGGTGGGGGGTGGGGGTGGTCTGAGACCAGAAATCTGGAGCAAGAGAAAGCCCAGCTGGCCCCCCTGAGGGGCCTGGGCTCGGACGGAAGGAAGGGCGGGCACCCGTAGCCTTCAAAGCCTGACCTGGGGCTGGGCAGGGGCACCGAGGCCCAGAGGTAGAAAGCGGGGCCTGCCAGGGGCATCCCCATGCCTGAGGATCAGCAGGCCTGTGCCCCCCCTCTTGGAGCTCCGTCGGGCCCGCACAGGGGCCTTCCCTCTGGCCAACACCTGAGGAGTGCTCTCCAGGCTGAGGGCACAGCACCGGTGAGGGGGCAACAAGGCCAACACGGTGCTGGTGCCAGGAGCACAGGGGTGGGGGGGCCCTAGTGCGGGAAGGCCGGGAGATGGGGGTCAGCCACGAGTGCGTCCGCTCGGTGCGGGGAAGCAGGGTTTGTGAACAGCCCTCCCCCGTGCCTGCTTTCTGTCGCTGCCGAGCTGGACAGGCCCGGGTGTGTGCTGTCTAGGCAATGGCTTCACCGGAGACCTGGACAGAGGCACACGGCAGGTGACACGGGGCCACTGGAGCAGCTCCCTCTGCCTCTAACTGGCTGGGGAAGGACTGCCCCAGAGCGAGGCTGGGGGCCTGGCGGTGCTTCCAGTGTGGGCAGCTCCCAGGGGCCCCGAGGAGCTGGCTCTGGCGTCGAACCAGCCCCGGCCTGACCGCCTGTGGCTGGGGTGCCCATGCCGAGGAGCTGGGGGCTGCCTGAGGACCAGCTGTAGGAACGAAGCCCTCAGTCCCCGGGCGTGGGGCCCGTCTGGCGGGGAGACGGGTGTGTGCATGGCCAGCCACACGTGGGGAGGTCTGAGTGGGGAAGGTGCTGGGCCCCAGAATGGAAATGGCAGGGGCCCATGCTAGGGGCTGGCGGGACAAGAGTGGACTCACCCCCACGCCCCCAGGGTGGCTGAGTGTTGGTCTCTGCCCCATGAAACCCCACAGTCCCTTCCCCTTCTAGGCCCCAGGTGACTCAAGACAAGCTGTTCCTTGCGTGTTTGTTGAGTGAGGACTTGAATGAATAGGGGCCCGACAGGTGTGGGCAGCAGGGTCTTATCTCCACTATAGGAGTAGCTTATCCCATGAGATGGCACAGAAGCAAGGGCGTGGGGGAGGATCCCCTGGCCAGGCAGCGCCCCCAGCTGGTACCTCATCGCCTGCCTCCGGCTCAGGAGGTGGCAGGGCAGAAACAACACAGTTCCATTTTACAGGTGAGGCAACGGGAACCTCAAGGCTGCAGGAAAAACACAGCAGCAGTGCAGCCCCGGGGGGCAGTCCCAGGGGCAGTGTCCCTGCCTGGGGGGGGGGCTCCTTCCTTTGGTCCCCCATTGCCCTTCACAGGAGGTAAGTGGGAAGGGGGCTGGGGCTACAAAGGCCTACACTGGGGGATGGGGGGCCAAGGTGGGGAAGGGCCAGGCTGGAGGTTGGAAAGGCATCCAGGGACTGTTCCCAATTTGAAAAATCTCGCATGCGCCTCACCAACACCTGGAGTTGTGTTGGGGTTCTGACCCCTTCCAACCCACCCTCCTCCACTCCCCATGGCCTATCCTAATACTGGATATTAGGGAAAACAGGAACTTGGGGACCTGCGCCGGCTGAATGGGGACAGGAGCTCAGGCTCAGGAAAGAGCTGGAAGAGGCTGCCAGGCAATGGAGGCTGGCTGAATCCAGGCAAGTGATGGGCACAGCCTCAGACTCTAGTTCCTCAGCTGAGCCTGGGCTCCTACCACCTACTGGCGCTCTCCCCCTGTAGGAGACACCGTGCTCCTACGGGGGGGCCTCAGCTCTAGGGTCCGGTCGGACCCTGCACAAGCCCCTCTCCTGGGCTTCTCACCATGACCCAGCCGGCCCCCAGAGGTTCAAGAATGCAAGGGTTCCCATGAGCCCTTGGCCACCAATGCCCTGGCCTCTGGCTGTCTGATACAGTTCCTCCTGCTGTGCACCAAATTGGGGTTACCCCGGCTGTGCTGATGCAAGGGTAGAAGGCACGGCCCCTTGTACGGATTCCCAGCCCAAGAGTCTAAGATTCCAGGTTAGTGCGTTTGCTCAGAGAAGTGGAGGTGGGGGACAGGTCCCAACTGGGCCCCAGAGGCTGTAAGAACAGGAGGGGCCCTGGCCCAGAGTCTGTGCTGGGGCAGTCAGAGGGGCCACTGGAAATTGGGGTGTGCTTCCTAGAGGCATCCTTTGAGCTGAGGTTACCCCCCCCAAATCCCCCTCCCCCCAACCTGGAGCAGGGCTCAGGAAGGGAGGGCAAAGCCAGAGACCAGGCAGAGCCTGGTGGCTGAAGGCCTTGAGTGCCTAGGGAAGGAGGCTGGGTCTTAGCCTTCAGGAACAGTGCAGCCATGGAAGGACTTGAGGAGGGGGTGGCTCCTGGGCACTTCCCAGATCACAGCTGGACACTGGGGATGGATGACAAAGGCAGGCGCTGACCCAACTCAGCTACAACGATAAGGGATAGAGCAGAGCCCCGGGAGGACCAGAGCTGCAGGGGCAGCCCTGCAGTCTTGGAGGAAAGGGAGTGCGGGCCAAGGGCCGGGTGGACTTCACCGGGCGGGGAGGAGAACTCGGGCCGGGCCACTCGTCCAAGGGGAGCGGGTGTGGCGCTGAAGGTGGCCAGACGGACACGAGCCAGGAAGAACCCCCTGGGGAGCCGCGGGCAGGGATGTGGCGCGGTCCAGCTCGTCGTGGCCTCGTCCTACCGCGAGCATCGGCCAGGCTCGCAGGCCGGCTGCTCCGATCCCAGGGCGCACTCAGGGACTCGGTTTCCCCGCGCGGCGGGGCGGGGCGGGGCCAGTGCAAGTCTCGAAGCCGCCTGCAGGGGGCGCCCGTGAGCGCCGCGGCCGGAGCCCGAGCCCGAGCCGCCGCGGAGACAGCGGGAGCCGGCGCGCGAGCGGCAGGTCAGCCGGGGTCTCCGGTCCGGGGTCCCGAGGGTCCCTGGCGGGCGGCCGGGCGGCATGGGGCCGTCGGAGGCTGAGGGGCTGGGAGGGACTGGTGGCTCGGGACCCCTCCAGGGCACCCGGCCGTCCCGACCCTCTCTTCCCGCCACCCCGAGAGCGAGTTCACAGGGCTGGGGTCCGAGCTCTGCCCCGAGGCGGGGACCGGAATGGCGGGCGGGTGCAGGGGCGGCTCAGGCGCGGGCGCACGTCCTAAGCACAGTCGGGGGGCGGTGTGCGGACCCTCCGGGCCGCCCCAAACTGGACCGGAAGGTGCGCACGGGTAGGCGGGGAGGGGAGGGGGCGCGAGAGCCCGACGGCCCGGGCGGCGGAGGTTGGGGGGGGCAGGCGTCTGGACCCACAGGTGACGTGCGGGGAACGTCCGTCGGTCCGTCTAGGCGCCACGGGCCGGCCCCAGGGCACTCGGCGAACCTTCCGGACGCGCCCGGCGGGGGTGGGCTGGGGGCGCAGAGGTGCGGCCGAGGGAGGGCGGGTCAGACCCCCGGGGTGGGGGGGCGAGAGAGGGCTTCCGCAGGTGGAGCAGCCCGGGGCGGGGACCGCATTCCGGGGGAGGAACGGCGGCGAGGGCAGACGCTCGGCATCCCGAACGCCTGGGGCGCGGCGAGAAGGGGAGTCGGGAACGCTGGGCCGGGGCGGGAGCGTTCCGGGGACAGTGGTGGCGGGACCCGGACTTAGGGGACCCAGGGGAGTCCGGAGGCCGGGCAGGGTGGGTGCACGCCTCGGAGTGGGCTTGGCCGTCTGCCGGGCTGCCCTGAGCGGAGGTAGGAATGGCGGGAATGGTGGCGGCCCTCGAGGGATTTGACGCAGGACGGCCCAAAGGATCAAGGAGGGGGCCGCGGGCCCGCGGAGCGGAGACCTCTGCGTTCCCGGCACCGCCATGCCGCTTTAGACTTTAATTTTCCCAACTGTAAAATAGGAGGACGGTGGAGGCCAAGGCGGAGGCCGAGGGATCTGTGGCCGGAGGAGAAGCGGGAGGGCAGGTCTCCCCGTCCCCCATTCCCTAGGACCGGAGTTGTGGCTGGCCCCTGGGGGAGGATTAGGCTGCCCCTTTGTCCCGCTCTCCCTCACCGTAGCAGGGAGCACCCAGGCCCGTTTCCACCCACAGGGCCAGTGCTTGCCTCTCGCCCAGGACTCAGGCTGCCCTCCCTTTGGCCTCTGCTGTCCAGCCAGCCTCTGCACCCTCCAGAACACTCTCTGTGTTACCTCCATGCCCCTGGTTGTCCCCACCCCCCACCGTGGGGACCATGATGGGGAGCTCTTTGGAGTGCAGCGGGCCAGGGACGATGTTGTGGGGTCAGGGGCTCCCTCTTCAGTCCTGCTGTGGCTGGTCCTGGAGGCATTGGCTGGGCTGGCACGGCCCTGCCCTGTGGGCCAGCTCTCCTTCTCAGGTCTCAGCAGGTCCATGACAGGAGTTCCTCACCGAGGCCTGGCCACAGGTAGTGGTGTCAACACCTCTTTGCTCTGTCCTTGCCCTTTAGGGTCTCCCTGGCTCTCCCAGGCTCTAGTGTCCCTTGGGCCACTGCCCCTCCATCCTAATCCCCTCAGTGTAGACCAGGTTCTGGGCTAAGCCAGCTTCCGTGTTGATAACCCCAGAGAAGCTGAGGGCCGCCCACATATGGGTGGCAGGTGAGAGGCTTTGGGCCAGGTCAGTCCTGGCCGACCTTTGGGGGCTTGCGTGTTGCCCTCCCTCAAGTTGGGTTTGTGAGGGCCAGGCCCCCAACCACACCGTGGTCCTGCCTCCTAGGAGCCCACAGCCCAACAGAGCAATGGCAGGCTTCAAGGGCAGCCCAATGGACGGCCGATTTCGATGCCCAAACCTGGGTTCTGGTCTTGCCTCCTTGGCGCACTCGCCGTCTTATCTGTAAAACAAGTGTGATGGAAAGAACAACGCTCGACGTACAGGGTTGTGATGGAGAGTAAATGAGAGATGGGCATCAAAGGGGCAGGTCAGAACCAGAGGACGGGTTGGGGTCTGTGCTTGAGCTGGGGAACCCCAGAGGGAGGCTGCTGGCCCTGTGCGGAGGGGGGCACACCACAGGGGATCGCAGAGGGACATGTGGCCTGGAGTTGGCTTGGCGGCAAGCACCTGGCTTCAGGGCATCAGACCCTGCAACATTTAACTTGTTTCATTCCTGAGCTACCTTACCCCGATGGGCTGCAATTGCCAGCTCAACCATCTTGTGGCGTTTGTCTCGTCTGCCACAATTCAGACTGGGTGCTGAAAGATGTGCACAAGGGAGGCTAAGGGGAAGATGACCAGAGGGCGGGCCACGGCATGAAGTATGGGGTTTTGGGGGGGGTGTCAGGGGCTGCTGAGGAGACACCGGGAGTCAGGTGCTGAGCAGGTAAAAGGAACAAGTCCCAACTCCTGGGGAAAGGGTCTGGACCCAAGAAGCATCAGCAGTCACAGAAGGGAGGGGTTGTTACTTCATGGTCAGGAGGCAATGGTTGGCGTGCGGTGCCTGAGGGCTGTATCCCGGAGGTCTGTGCTGGGCCCAGATGGGGGGAGAGAAGTGGGAAATGGGCAGGAGCTTGGAGCTGGGATGCAAAGAGGAGGCCCCCAGAAGACTGCTCACCCGTACGAAGGGGCAGGTTAGCGGCAAAGGTCCCTCAGCCCCTGCCTACAGAATCGCGAAAAGGGCCCCGGCAGTGTGGGGTCCACGGGATGCTGCAGGGGAGGGGAAGGTTTGGATGGAGGGGAAGAGCAGCTGTCTCTCACTCCAGCCTGGGTGGGTGGGGGGTGGGAGGTACACAGGGAAGGCAGGGTGCTCCAGCTTTCCAGGCCCCCTTCCCCAGGCATTCTCTGACAGGCCTCTGAGCCTCATACAGGCTGTTGTATTTGCCTGGAATCTCCCCCCTCCCTCCCCTCATTTCCCTGTCCTCCAAGTCCCGCCCAAGTGGCCCCTCCTCTGGGAAACCATCCAGACTGTTTGGGGCCCAGACCCCCTTCTGCAGGACACGCGTGTCTCCGAAGATGCTGGGCAGGGGCTGGCGCTGTCTTTCTGCGGCTCCCCCTTCTGCCACTGCTGCCAGGTACAGGGGGCCGCTGAGTTAACAAGGAGAGTGGCGGAGCCGCGTGGCGTCCGGTGCAGCCCACGGGCCGTGCTGCTCTTGCTGGCTAACGCTCTCACCCTCTCCCTTCAGCCTCCAGGGCTGCGTCATCACACCTTCGTCCCAGGGACCCCAGAAAGGGGGTCTGCCTCCCTCCCATCCTCAGTGGGGCCACCGTCTAAGGAGCTCCTGCCTCCAACAGACCAGCCTTCTGCCAGGGCCCCACCCAGACCCACTAGGGCCATCTAGGACCCCCCCCCCCGTGTCCCCTTCAGGCATCATAGTGCCTGTCATCCCACCATTAGAGGGTTCATTTGAGGGAGGTGTGGGTGCCAAGCACATCCTAGGGTGCCGTCTCACCGGAGCCTCGGTGCAAAGGGGAAGACTCTTGCTCAGGATCTCAGGGAGTGTGGGATGGAGCAGGAGTGGGAGCCCACCTGAGCTCCTTCCACCACAGAATGGGCATCCAGCACCTTGTGTGTGGGGTGACCTCTTGGAGGGGGGCCTGTCAGAGAGGTGGCCAGTGAGGGGGTGAACGGAGACCTCCGGCTGGGAGGATGCAGATTCTCCCCGTATCTGGCCTGGTTGTGTGGGGATGGGAGAGGGTCTCTAGGCCCCCCTTTGGGGAGAAAGGAGCTGGGGCAGGCCCTGTGGCCCCAGAAGCTGATGATGTGGAGGCTGCTCGAGGGGCCAGATTCAGCACGGGGAGCTGGCTCTCCACCCCACCAGTTCCTGCCCACATCCTGCCCCTGGGGCTGAGAACGGCAGCCTCCAGAGGGGCGGTGGGGGAGGGGGGGGCCACTGGATGTCTGCCTGGTACTTTGGGCCAGCCTGCACCATGGTCCTGAAGTTGTCCTGCAGGGAGGGAAGGAGAGAGGTCAGGGGCCCCAGTGCTCCGCGGTTGCTCACCTCCAGGCAGCACAGGAAGACACTTGCCCCACTCCAACTGATGGGTTTGGAGAGGGGCTTGGTAGGTCCCAGGGCCCCTGGGGTTTTGGGAGGCGTGTGCCGAGGCCCGGGCCGCTCCAAAGACCAGTCACGGCAGAGCCATCGGCGGCGGGCTTGTGGCTGAGAGCCGGAGCAGAGCTGCCCATCCCGCTGTTTCTTCTTTGCCTGTTGCCCTCTCCACGCTGACTGAGCTCCCATGAGACAGGTGTGGGTACTTCTCCGTCTACCTTCCTCGCCCCTCAACTGTATCTCCTCATGGGCTTTGTGTCTTTGGGAAGTTGCTGTGATAATTCCTCAGTGCTGATAATCGCTCAGATCCCCAGTTGTCTCCCAACTGGGTGCACGCCCGAAGCGCAGCATGTGGATTGTGTTCTCTGCCTCAGTCCCTTTATTTTTCATTTTGGGGACTTTTTATTATTTCTTGTTCATGTTCATCTGTTCTTGTTTCATTTCTGCCAGTTGAGTCATAAGTTCTCATTCTTGCTTGTGGATGCTACTCCTTTTTTCATTTCTTTAAAGATCCTAAATGTCTTTGAAAAGCATTATTAGATTATTACCTTCCTCTCTTCCTGAATGAATGAATCTCCATATTTGGGGTGCTGTTGCTTATCTGTCTTGAGTTTTTCTCCTGTGCTTCGAAATTGTGGTTTGCAGGCTCATCTTCAGTGGGAACTGAGGCCCTGGAGGCGGGGAATCACCGCACACTAGGGTAGCAGCTGGCTCTCAGTAGCCTCCTGGGACAAGTCCTCCTTCAAGGTCCCGCGCTGTAGGCTCAGGACCCTTCTGGGGCCAGGCTCAGCAGCATGTGGTACAGAGCTCCCTGTGATCCCGCAGCTGGGATGCTGCTTGGCACAGAGTTGGCACTGGTGGAACGTTTGCTATGAGAAAGTAACGGGAGAGTCTCAGGCCAGGATTCTGGAGCCCAGGACTGGGCCAAGCATGGTTATTCCAGGTCCGAGTCCCTACAATGGGCCTGGTATATTGCCCTCTGCAGCACCTAGGAGCAGAGGTACAGGGTCCTACCTGGAAGCTAGCAGGCACCTCTGTCCAGCAGACTTGGGGGGGGTACAGCCACCATCTGGGCATGTGTACAGAAAGCCTTGCTAGTGTGACTTAAAAGGAGCCAGAAGTGGGCCAGGAAATATGTGGGTTTTGATTAAATGGAGTTTTAAATAAAGTGGCCAGGTCAGTGGGGGTGAGGAGGAAGGCCAGAAGAAGCAGCAGTTTTGAATCTGACTGCTGGGAATCCTACAGGGTTGTCCTTTCAAGGCTCATTGTGCACGTTCCCCAGCACGTGTCTCTAGTTTTTATGGGACAGCTTCTGCCCTCTGCCCTGTTCCCAACAAGGGATAATCAGAGGGAAATATTACATTATTAACATTTAATTTCCTTTCCTGGCTAGCAACAGATGACTCAAGAATTAATTAGAGCCAGCAGAGAGGGATAGGAAATTGCCAGATCCTGGCTCCACCCCTGGCCCCCTCCCCTTGGGCCTCAGACCTTCCTGTCGCTCTGGGAGGCCTCTGAAGGGAGGGAAGCCGAGAGGGGCCAGGAGGCCCCAGGAAATCTTCCTGCTGCTGTGTTTTCCATGGGCATTTCCCTCAGCTCTATCCCACCCTCTCATGCTCTCGGTAAGGCTGGGGGAGGTCGTTAACCTCTTTGGGACTTAGCTTCCTCATCTGTAAAATGGGGCTCATGGGGCCAACGAGAATAGATGATCCCATTGTCACCATGCTCTTATATTGTGAGCTCCCAAGCAGGCTGCCCCTGCTAAGAGGGTCTGGAGTAGAGTCCCGGCACCCTGGGAGAGTGCCGGGCTTGGTGGCTCGGTGGCCAGAGCCCAGTGACACAGGCTCTCTTGAGCTGTGTGCCAATTCCCGTTTCTTGTCAGTGACACATTAGTAGCTTGAAATTGGCTATCCTGGGAGCATTTACACCATGAAAGTCTGACAAAGGCCACAAGTTAGGGTGCCCCCACCCCCTGGGCTGATTTGCCCACCTATGGCTGGGAAGCTCCCAACCGTCCTGCAGAATAGCTCCAGTAGGAGGCTGTTCAGCCTTCTTCCTGCCCTGTCTGTCCCCTGGTGCCTTGGGCTCCACTGATGTTCTCTGCTTGGGGCTGGCACTCTGGTTTACAGATGCCCAGGCTGCCTGTGGGGCCAGGCCAGCCTCACCCCAGGATGAGGTGGCAGCAGCTGGAAGAGCCCGCAGGAATGCTGTAGGAAGGGCAGATGCAGAGCCAGATGTGCAAAGAGGCAGCCTTTTAGGACCCAGCTGTCAGGGGCATTAGCTCCTTGCAGGACTGATGTGGGCAGGAGGATCTGCTGCACCCAGTGAGATTGGGAGGGCGCCACAGGCATGGTGTACAGCAGGCAGGTGGCTTCAGTGTCGTCAGGCAGAGTGTTGGTACCGGGTGCCGTTCACCATGGGAGCCCATAGCGCAGAAGGTGGTTGGGAGGCCCTGAGGACTGGGGGTTTGCAGGCAGGTACCCGGGGCTGCCAGGAGAGCCTCACCAAACAGAGAGCTGGGTTAGGCCCCTCGAAAAGGCCTTTCCAATCCAGGCATCCTGGCTTATGGAGTCAGCCTGGCGTCCAGGACAGGTGCTGGTGGTGTGACCCCATCAGCAGGGCTTTGGGTGGTGGGATAGGGCAGCCCGGCCTCAGCTCCACAGAAATGTGATACATATTTGGGTCAAGTGGACCACTGGTGGTCCTACGTCATCTTTCCCCAGGAAGGGCCTTCTGAATCTGGACAAAGGTCTGGGGCCAAGTCAGGCCTCTAGCCTGGGCTGGTCAGATTGGCAGGGGCTGTGGCGCCTCTCAATGCAAATTCCCCTGGAGAGACCATAAGTCCAGGTCAGAAGGGTGGCAGGTAATGGTGAGGAGGCGAGAGGGCAGACAGCTCACAGGTAGCGGGAGGCAGGGTCCCTGAGGCTTACTGGGCCTGACCAGACCCCACTGGGCAGTGGCCTGCTGCCTCTACTGCTGGGCCTGGGAGGCCCCTAGGTGGCAGGCAGTCTTGGGCCTGTCACTTCCCTTCTGCCGAGTGAAAACTAGAGCCCGGACACACAGCTTCTGCAGTTGGGGGGGGGTCCCTGGTTGCTGCTTTGGGCTCTAGGCCAGGGACACTGGGGCCAGGGATAGTACTGGGAGACTTGGTCTGGCCCTCCTCTGCCAGTGACATGCTTCATGAGCAGTTGGCTGGCAGGTACCCTGCGTATACCGGGGGCTTGCGATTCATTCACGGTCCCTGCGTAGTGGGCCCCTGCCGGGCCTGGGAGAAGCCCATGGGGTCTGCCCTAGGCTGTGGGAACCCCTCCACTTTTCGGGGACTGTCCTGTTTCCTGGTGTTGGGTCCTCCATTGGAGCCTCCTGGTGGGCACAGGGCATAGCCCTCGGGTGTAGTTCCAGCCGCCTGAGGCACACTGGAGTTGGAAGGAGACTTGTGTTCCTCTGTCGCAGCCCTCTGCCACCTCCTGGATGGGGTGGGAGGAGCCTGGCCCTTGGAACATGGCAAGGGACCATGAGTCACCTTCCCCCAAGGTTACCAGTCCTGCTCTATCCCTTGTGTCCTGCAGGAGTGAGGGAGGGCACACTTTCCTGAGCCCACGTGTGGGCAGCTGCAAGGCAACTTCGGGCCTCTTGTTCCCATGCAGGCAGCAGCTACTGCCCGTGGGCACCTGGGGCCCCGTGAGGGCTCAGGACCGGGGGAGGGGGTGGGTGTGGCATGAGGGGACACCGTGAGGCAGCACCTGTGAGTGTGACAGGTGGGGGCAGCGGCAGTGGGGAGAGGCCCCCAGGCTGGGAGTGGGAGATGGAGACCATTTCACAAGCTCAATGGAACCCTGGGGGTTTGGGCTGGGGGAGCCCAAGACCTCGACTTCTGCTTGTGCTTCTGCGGGGTGTCATTCCTTACATTTCTATGACGTTTTGACTCTTGGGGGAGCCCTTTCAGATCTATTTATTTCCTTCTCATGGAATCACGAGTGAGAGCTGCAGCGGTCCCCAGAGGCTATCTGGGGTCCGATCTCCTCACAGTATCAATGAGGAAACGGAGGCCTAGAAAAGAAAAAACCATCCTTGCCTGCAGTTCCCCAGCAAGTCCTGGCTGAGCACCCTGCTTTCTGCCCAGCACCACACTAAACTTAGCCTATGCTGGCATCAGCCAGGCAGAGGAGCAGGTTAGGGAGCAGGCGTGGGAGGAGGGAGGGGAGGCCACCCCCCACCCCGCCCAGACGTGCCGTCAGCTGGCAGGGGTTGCTGAGGGGCGGGCCCCCTCTGTGCCTGCTCCTCCACACTGTGCAGCGTCACCAGCAAGGGCCTGGGGGCTCACCTGCCGGCAGTGGGAGACAGGACCAGATGGGCCACCCAGGTCCTTCCAGATCAGAGCTCTAGATGTCTCTGGGCCTCTCCTTAACCTAGCGGTGTAGGTAGGTCCTGGTGGTTCCCAGGGAGAGCTCTTGGGGGACGGAGAGGACTGAGGCTGGCCGAGAGAGAAGGTAGGTGGGCCTGGGACAGCCGAGGAGTGAGGGGGCCTTTCTGGAAGGGTCCTGGGGGTGGCAGTGAGCTCAGGGACCCAGGAGACTGAGGGCTGCCACAAAAGGCTTGGGAAGCTGAGCATGGGGGGCAACACGGGTGACTTAACTTTGAAGATTCCTGTCTCCCCTAGAAAACACAAGGGCCGAGGCTGATGGCCAGCCCCGTGTCCAGGGTGGGAGGGGCGGGGCACAGTGGGTTGTCCTCAGGCTGATGCCTGGCCTGCGGGGAGGGCACTGGTGAGTGGGACTGATGGCCGCTCCCGGGAATCTTCAGCTTTGCCCGCTTTGCGGTCCAGCTCTTCACCAGGCTTCTCCCTTGGCAGGTGCCTTGGGGACTACGAAGCCGAGCTGAGCCAAGATGCTGCCAGGGCCCCTGAAAAGGGCCCAGTTTCTGGAGACTCAGAGTGGGCTGTGAAAAACCCCTTGGGGAGCCCCCCTCCCAGGCAGGGAGGCTCTTGGCTCCTGTGAAGAAGGGGCTCAGGGGCCTGGGCAGGGCCAGCTGCACTGCAGCTATGGACCGTGAGCTGGCCTGGCCCGCGTCCTTGCTGACCCTGCCTGTCTGCAGCCATGTCCACCATGGGCTCCTGGGTGTACATCATGGTGGAGCTGGCCATTGCCGTGCTGGCCATCCTGGGCAACGTGCTGGTGTGCTGGGCCGTGTGGCTGAACAGCAACCTGCAGAACGTCACCAACTACTTTGTGGTGTCCCTGGCGGCAGCCGACATTGCTGTGGGAGTCCTCGCTATCCCCTTCGCCATCACCATCAGCACAGGGTTCTGTGCCGCCTGCCACAACTGTCTCTTCTTCGCCTGCTTTGTCCTGGTCCTCACGCAGAGCTCCATCTTCAGCCTCCTGGCCATCGCCATTGACCGCTACATCGCCATCCGCATCCCACTCCGGTGAGCTGGGGGCTGGGCGCGGTGGGTTGCCCCTGTTCTCTTCCTTGGCACGCCTCATGCCGGGGTTCACACCTGTGAAAAGGCTGCCTGTGCCAAGGTCTGCTGTGTGCCCAGCCAGGGTCAGGGTGAACCTGGAGTCAGGGTTTGGTCTTTGATGTCTGTGTGTTTGAGCTGAGGACAGCTCCATGGGGGCTCAGTCTGGGGCTGCCCAGGGCCTGGCACACAGCCAGCAGTCGTGCCAATCCAGTTGATCCTGTGGGCACCGGGCACCCTGGCCCTCCCCAGTCTTCCCCAGGCTGCGTGGTTGAGGCTGCTGCTTTGGCTGTTGGCAGATGTATGTGGCCCGGGCCTGAGCGGTGCATCTGGGCCATTTTCTCACACAGCATGATGCTGGGGTGGGGTGGGGCATCATGGGAAACCACAGGCCCTCAGAGCTAGAAGCCCGCCCGCCTGCTGGCCTCCAGCTCCTCTGGGCCAGCCGCAGTGTGCACATTAGGAAAATGACCCAGAGAGGGGAAGTGACTTGGCTGAATGCCACAGTGAGTCACTTGGACCAATATGCAAATTTTGTGCTCCTGAGGTCAGCAAGTACTCATGGTCTTGGAGAGAGCTGTGGGCTCAGCTAGTGGAGGGAGTTTTCATGGTGAATCTTGTGTGAAGTGACTTCAGCCCTGGATTGTGTAAATGAAGACTTTCCCTGAGGCTGAGTTCCTTTAATGTGGCCTCCGCCTACCTGGCCCTGAGGGAAGCTAGGAAGTACCTCCCTCCCCCAGAGTGTGTGTGCGAGAGGGGAGGGGACCTCCTGTCCCACCTCCTTGACCCTACATGTGGGAGCTGGGTTCCACAGCCTGGGTGGCTGCAGACCCTGAGGGAGGTCTCAAAGGACCAGGGTACCTGGTCCTGTGGGGAATTCTCCCAAACAGGTGAAGCGCCTACCTGTGGAGCAGGCCTCAGCAGCCCCGTGCTGGCCAAGCGCACCCCAGCTGGGAAGAGGAGCAGTTTCAGTGAGAATGGAAATTTAGAGTATCAAACCCAAGGGGGCCCTTAGAGGTCATTTCCTCTCATCTTCTGGATGGGAAAATGATACTCAGAGAAGGGAGCCAGCCCTCAGGGCCTACACAACGAGTTGGCTGCACAGTTGGGCCTAGGAAGAAATGTGGCCTGTCACCCACTGCAAGACTCCAGTCTTTGGGGAACAGGGTCACAGGGTGGCCCCGGGCTCCCAGACCTGCAGTAGGTGGCCACTCCTGTCACGTGGGTTCAAAGCGGGAAGCAGGCACCCTCCTCATGCTGGTCGAAGGAAGGGAGGAGCCTGGGCCCCGTGTAGCCCTGTGGGGTGCTCTGGTCTCAGGAGAGCTTGTCAAAGAGGAGACTCTGGCCAGCCTTAATATTAGAGGACTGGCCTCATAGTGCAGAGTCCAGGCTCATTGAGGGACAGCTCAGAACACAGGATCCCAGGTAGACTAAAGAGAATCAGTGTCTACTTTAGGCCAGGCTGAGCATGAGCTGGGCCTGGGCCAGCCCTGGTGGACACATTGAGTAGCGAAGCAGAGACCTCGCTTTCACTTCCTTTCCTGATTCAAAGGGCAACAGTAGTCTAGGGAGACATCGGGGCTCAACTGAAAGGATCTCAGCTTCTTTTTCTCATCCCTCTGTATTCTGAGAGTCAAGAGAGTGATTCCTGGTGTAGGAGTATGGGACATGCTGTGTGACCATAAAAAGTCAGCTGCTGCTCTCTGGGCCCATTTCCTCATCTGTAAAAGGGGACAGGCCTCTCTGTCCTGCTGAGCTCACAAAGGTTTTGTAAGGGGTCCAGTGAGCGGATGGGAGTGATGGGACCCGGAGGAGGGAGGGTTGGTGGGATGGAGCAGATGGGGATTCAGCTCTTTCTTGAGCTACTGGAGTTTCAGAGCTGGGTCCCTAAATGGAGCCTGGCCCTGCCCTGCCCCATCTGTATCCCCAGTTCCCACGATCTTCCAGAGCAGGACCTAGTTCTGCCCAGACCCTGGCCGTTTGAGCAACGCTTGTTAAAGCTTTGGAAGGGTCAGCCTGGATCTCTTGGATTTGGGAGTTGTAGGGATGACCATGCTCATCCTCCCCATCAGGCAGAGAGCCTCAGAGTTGCCAGAGGACGTCAGCACAGTTTCTCCTTTGATCCTCACAGCCCGGCCTTGTGGCCAGGGCGGATGTTATGACCCTGGTGTTACTCATGGGGAGGCCAGAGCAGGAGAAGGAAAAGTGTCTGCTGACTCGGGGACCTCCAGGGCCCTTCGTGAAGTTCCAGGCTTCCTTGGGTCCCTCCACTTTCTTATTCCTCAAGGGCCCTGGGCCAGGGAGGGTGAGGTGCATGAAGGTGCAAGGGGGAACGAGGTGAAGGCAAATGAGAACCTGGAGCTCCTGGCAGCTCTGGAGCCACTGCCTGACCCAGGCTGCCCGCTCCTGCCTGTCCCCGTGTCCCCTGCCAGCTGGGAATCTCCCCTCCTCTGCATGCTGTCCCCTGCTCCCCTCAGTAGGTGCGTTTGGCTGCTCTGAAGGGCGCATCCCCTGACTGCTGCACTGCACCAGGCCTGTGTCACCCACCCTTCAGTTCTCTCTCTCTTTCTTCTTTCCCTTCCTTCCTTCCCTTCTTCCTTCTTTTCTTGTCCTTTCCTTTCCTTTCCTTGCTTTCCTTTCTCCCCCTTTCTTTTTTTAGACTTTTTATTTATTTGAGAGAGAGAGCACAATCCAGGGAGGGGGGCAAAGGGAGGGGCAGAGGGAGAAGCAGACTCCCCACTGAGCAGGGAGCCCAACGTGGGGCTCAATCCTGGGACCCCAAGATCATGACCTGAGCTGAAGTCAGACGCTTAACCAACTGAGCCACCCAAGTGCCCCTCTGTCTTTCTTAGGAGAATTTAGTATCAGAAAAATCTGTGCTCCTTCCCAAGTGCAGGGACCCTGGTGGGCTACATACGGCAGGGCTTAGTGAGAAGTGGCCTGGCCAGAGGCAGAGGTGGGAGCTCTTGTAATCCCCAAAGGACAGAAAGCCTAGGGTGAGAGACTTTATTTTTGTGCCCCTTGTCTCCTGTCTCTCACATTAGCCCCTGGTGAGTGCTCACTCTCCTTGGGAAACAGGCCACATATGGAGCAGCAGTTGGTGCAAAGACCTGAGGTGTACATGGTGAATCACCCCATGGGGACAAAAACCAAGTACCTGGCTTCTAAGGAGGGCAGGATTGGGGGAGAGGGCTCCCTGGAGGAGGTGATTCTGGCTGGGTCTTACAGGATGGGTATGTGTGGGGGCAGGTGTAACAGGAGTGAGCCAAGCCTGGACAAAGGCCCCAAGGAAGGAATGAATATGTGGGCTCTGGGTCAGGGAGAGGTGACAGACAGAACAGGAGGGCAGGGAGGGTATGAGGCTGCCTCAGGCCTGCGTATGCCCAGGAGAGAGTTTGGGTTTCACTCATGGGTCAGTGGCTCTTCAGTTCTCAGATCACTGACTCCTTCAGACAATTTAGAAAAGAAGGTTCCACCTTCTCTCAGTGTAGGGAAAATGCCCAAGAAGCCCCAGCTGGAGTTGTGGGTGGTATTCCTGGATCATAGAGTGAGCCCCCAACATGGATAATGGGGAGTCCCCAGGAAGGGGCAGCCTGTGAGCTGGAAGACGCAGGGATGCCGAGGTACCTCCAAATACCTCCAAACCTGGTGAGCAGGCTCTGGCACCTGCTCTCTGTGATGCCTCTGGGCTCCCCTGAATGGCAGAGTGTTGTGCTGGGTGCCTTTGGTACCACTTACACTAGACGGTCTGTGTCTGGGGCCCAGGGGGCCAAGATGTGACTACCATCAGTCACAGGTGCAGCCCAGGGGATGCCCCTGGGCCAGGCTGTGGCTTGGCTGTTATTCCATTTGGGCCCTAATGCTGTTCCAGTTCCCTAGGGGCCTGGGTCCAGGGCTCTCAGCCTAAGGACTTTCTTCTGAATAACAAAATTAATCTGTTTGATATTTGTGTGTGTGTGTGTGTGTGTATTTAAATAAATTATTACCTGCACATGCTAAAACATCAAAAAGGAACAACAGGTATATGGTGAAAAACTGTCCCTTTTGTCCCCTGCCCTACCTTCAGTTCTCTTCCTGGAAGTCAGCATTGGGAAACCTATCAGAGATATTCTTTGCATGCACAGGCAAGTGCTATTAACGTGTGTTTGTTTCTGTCCGCACAAGGGCTTTCATTTTAAAATGCAGTGCCAGACTTCCCCTCATGGGTTTCCTTGTCTGTAAAAGCAGACAGTTGAACAGACCAGGGATTTTCAAACTGTCCTGGAAGCCTTTGGGCTGGGCTCTGGTGTCCCCACCAACTCATTCATTCAGTGAATATCAAGCTGCCTCCCTTCCTCACCACCCTACCTCTGTGGTTGCCTGGGAATGTGAGCAAGAAGGTCGGCTGCCGGAGGACAATTTGGAAATCCCCAAAGCAGGTGGTCTCCAGGGTCCTCTACACCATCCCTATAACTGCTTGCTTCTGCTTGCTTGCCTCAAATGACAGGAAGCTCACTTTCCCTGAAGCAGCCCATTTCTTGTGTGCACAGCTCAGCTGAGAAGTTCTTACTTGCCCTCACTCACAATCCACCTCCCTGTAATCTCCACCCACAGATTTTACATTCTGCCCTCATGGGACAGTGCTCACAGGCCCTGGATTTTTAGTCCCATTTTACAAATGAGGAAACTAAGGCTCAGAGATGCAGAGTGACAGAACATGGCCAAACCAGGAACGCATCGGCGCTGGAACTCAGGGAGGGATACACTTTTCTCAGGAAAAATACCAACATTAAAATAGCCTCCTAGTCAATGAGATTACATAAATTATAATTTGTAGAGTACTAAAAACTGCCTGGCACATGGCAAGTGCTGTGTAAGTATTAAGTGGTGGTGGTGGGGGGAAGCCTGAGACTTTGTGTTTGAGGCTCCAGAATAAGAAACAGGGCAGCGTAGGCTCTCTGTGGCTTGGTGGAAATGGTCAAGTCCATGACCCTCTTCCTGCCCAGCCCTGTTGCAGGCACCCAAGCCCCTGCTAAATGGGGTTGAGGGCTCCTGGGGGTGGCCCTGCCCAGTTACTGTTTGGATTCAAAGCTGACATAGATTCAGAACTGACACACTTACCTTGGCCCAGGGTGCTCTGGGCTCCTAAAATGTCCACGGCAAATCCATTCCTCTCCTTAGGCTTCAGTTTTCCCATCTATAAAACGAGGTGGTTGGATTAGATAAGAGGTCAGAGGCCACCAGATATTTTTTTTCCCTTAATTTGAATTTGTTGACAAAATGTAAACCACGGGCAATCTTACCCAGAGAATCAGCTCCTCGGCCCCTTCTGAGGTCTGGCGGCACCAGAAGCACATTCTGCATGGGCGGCCAGGGGCTGAGCGGCGTAAGCCGTCTCTTGTACACACAGTAAATGTCCTGCCAGCCTGCCTCACACAATTCTTACTTGTAGGCCCATGTTTGCCATCCATGGACTAGATAGTTTCTGTGGACGCTTCCCATTCTGGAATTAAGTAAAGGACATCTACTGTGTGTCCCTGTCTCAATGCTGGTGATGCAGAGATGGATGCAGAAAAACCCTGCCCCCAAGGGGCCCCTGGCCTCAGGGGTCCAAATGGAGTAGAGATTAGCTGCCCCTGGGTAGGAAACTTCTCAGGGAAGATATCTAGCCTGAATGAGAAGGTTGGGTAGGGTTTACCAGGTGAAGGGGAGGGCAGTCTGGTGTTGCCAGAATCAAAACCATTAAACAGATGGTCATCCCTCAGAGATCACTGAGGTCACCTTCTTCAGTCAGGGAGATGATTTTTTGATTGCCCATTCTCTCTCTCTCTCTTTTTTTTTGGAGAGAGAGCGAGCGTGCATGTGCAGGTGTGCATGGGGGGGATGAGGGGGGAGAGGGAGAGAGAAAATCTTAAGCAGGCCCCCCCCGCCAACACAGAGGCAAACGCAGGGCTTGATCTCACGACCCTGAGATCATGAACTGAGCCGAAATCAAGAGTCAGGCACCCAACTGACTGAGCCACCCAGGTGCCCCAGACTGCCCATTCTTTTTTTTTTTTTTTTTTAAAGATTTTATTTATTTATTTGACAGAGAGAGACACAGCGAGAGAGGGAACACAAGCAGGGGGAGTGGGAGAGGGAGAAGCAGGCTCCCCTCAGAGCAGGGAGCCCGATGCGGGACTCGATCCCAGGACCCTGGGATCATGACCTGAGCTGAAGGCAGTCGCTTAACCAACTGAGCCACCCAGGCGCCCCCAGACTGCCCATTCTTTAATAAAATCTATGCCACCTTTTCTGTGGGCCTGGGATCAACTTCCTGGCTGGCAGATCAGGTCAACACTGTGAGTTTGGGACTGAGTCTGGCTCTCTAGAGTCCTGAGTGATTTCAGGCAGATTATTTTTCCTCTCTGGACCTCAGTACCTCATGTAGTTCTTTCCTCTTGAATGTTAAGACGTACTGATGTCGTGTCTCTCCAGAGGGCTGTGAGCGAATTTGGAAGGAAGAGAGGGTCTATTGCCCAGGACCTCCACCTCTCCTTGGGGGCTTCTGGAGACCTTCAGTTAAGTGGGGAAGGAAGAGCATGGAGTACAAGAGACATGACTCATCTACAATCTGATCTGGCAGGTTCTGCCCCCCGCCATTGAGTTTGCACTCCTGACCCATTCCCACTCTAAGGGGAAACTTACTCTAGCATCAACTAAGATCAACATGGAGGTGATAAGTTCTCTCACTTATAAATTCCCTCAAACTGAACTAATTGAGTCCCAGGAACTACTTGTAATACTATATAGTAATCATCTGAATGTCTATGCAATGGCTTCCTTGCCAGGGAGCCTGCTCTCCTGTTAGCTCCTGTGGGAAAAGGCAGGGCTTGGACCTGCAGTGAACAGAGGAGGATACTGAGGCTAGGAGGCAGGAAGTGACCGGTCCAAGACCTTTGAGCCGGTGGGTGGGGGACGGGGTGCCTCTCTGGGTTTCTGACTCTTGGCCCCGCCCAGCCTTGGTTTTTCAGACCTCTGATGCTGGTCTCCTTTCCCCAGGTACAATGGCTTGGTGACTGGCACAAGGGCCAAGGGCATCATTGCAGTCTGCTGGGTGCTGTCGTTTGCCATTGGCTTGACTCCCATGCTGGGCTGGAACAACTGCGGTCAGCCACAGGGGGGCCAAAACCACTCACAGGACTGCGGGGAGGGCCAGGTGGCCTGTCTCTTTGAGGACGTAGTCCCCATGAACTACATGGTGTACTACAACTTCTTTGCCTGTGTCCTGGTGCCCCTGCTGCTCATGCTGGGCGTCTACTTGAGGATCTTCCTGGCGGCTCGGCGACAGCTGAAGCAGATGGAGAGCCAGCCTCTGCCGGGGGAGCGGGCTCGGTCCACGCTGCAGAAGGAGGTCCACGCTGCCAAGTCGCTGGCCATCATTGTGGGGCTCTTCGCCCTCTGCTGGCTGCCCCTGCACATCATCAACTGCTTTACTTTCTTCTGCCCAGAGTGTAGCCATGCCCCACTCTGGCTCATGTACCTGACCATCGTCCTCTCCCACACCAATTCTGTTGTGAACCCCTTCATCTATGCCTACCGCATCCGTGAGTTCCGCCAGACCTTCCGCAAGATCATCCGCAGCCACATCCTGAGGCGGCGGGAGCCCTTCAAGGCAGGGGGCACCAGTGCCCGGGCCTTGGCAGCTCATGGCAGTGATGGAGAGCAGATCAGCCTCCGCCTCAATGGCCATACTCCTGGGGTGTGGGCCAATGGCAGTGCCCCTCATCCTGAGCGGCGGCCCAATGGCTACACCCTGGGGCTGGTGAGTGGAGGGAGTGCCCATGAGTCCCATGGGGACATGAGCCTCCCAGATGTGGAGCTCCTCAGCCATGAGCACAAGGGAGCATGCCCAGAGTCCCCTGGCCTCGAGGGTCCCCTGGCCCAGGATGGAGCAGGAGTGTCCTGATGATCCACTGAATTTGCCCCTTCCTACAGGAAGGAAATCTTTCTCTTTGGTGGATAGAGCCAGTCACGTTGGGAAAAGAGTGAATGTGCCTGGAGGCCCTTTTCATGGCCAGTTCCCACTTTGGACTGAGAGGAGGGAGCCCTGGCTGGAGCAGCATGAGGCCCAGTAGGAAGGGTTTGGAGTCCGAGGAAGTGGACGTTTCATGTTGGGAGGCCCTGCATCAGGCCAAGACCACAGCACCAGAGCATCTTGGCTGGGCAGGGCCTGGTTCCCCACTCTGGAAGCATCTAGAAGTACCACCCTGACTTGGCAGAATAGCTGTGGCAGAGCAGGCTGGCTGGCCCTGAGGCTGGGGGGCAGGGAGGGTGGCTCTAGCAGGCCCTCTACCACACACACAGACCACCCTCCCCAGACTTTCCAAGGGTTCAGGAGCTGCTGTGCCCAGAGGTGGCGTTTTTCTTTTCCTTTTTTTTTTTCCCAGGAGAAAATGTTAAGTGTGAAGAATACCTTTTTTTTTAAATTATCTTCCTTCCCTGGTTGCTGTCTCTGTTGTCAGTCCTGCTGCTCACCCTGCTCCAGGGGTCAGCCCAGGGAGCCCCAGGCAGCACTCTCTGGCTACCATGAGCTGCCACGCACTTCTTACACTATCAGTCCCAGGGTCATCTTTGGGGGCCACAAAGCTGGGCTCAAGGATGGGGAGTTGTAATGGAGTGCTGCCTGACTGTGGGCTCAGGGGAGGAAGTGGGGACTGGCCCACCATGCGGTATGCCTGGGTAGCTCAGAGCTGCCCAGTCAGAGGCCCTATCTGCCTTTCCTTCTGAAGGGAATGTTTTTTTCTGAGATAAAATAAAAATGAGCCATGTTGTGTTTTAAGCTTGTCCAATGAGAATGGTGTCTGAGTTCCTTTCCCCATTCCATAGCCATGCCTGGCACACATACATATGGGGTGTATATTGCATGTGTGAGAGAGTGTGTGCATTTGTGCACAGAGAACAGACAGACACCCTGCCTGACTGGGGGTGCCTCACAGGCTCCCATCTTCTGAGGGAAAAGGCTGCCTGGATGCACCAGAATCGAAATGCCCCTGAGCAGCCCCCAGACCTGTGTTCCTGTGAGACGGGGGGTTGTAGGAAGAGGGGCTCTTCCCAGCTGCTCTCCCTCCAGAGGCCATGACGCCTCTAGCCCTAGATGTTTCCTCAGTGTGGAGTGTGGCTCCTCCCTCCCTCTTTGCTTCCTAGAGTCCTGAGAGGAGTGGCCTACTCTCCCCATGCCCTGCTCCACCCCTTAGCTGAGAGGCCACAGAGGGATGTGGAAAGCAATATAGGCGAGGATTCAACTGCCTTCCCCTTCCCCTGGAGTCACCCCACCTCTTGCTCCCAACAAAGAAACCTATATGGTTTCCTGCTCTGAAGCCTGCCCCTGGGGCTGTGTCATCCTTCCATGCTGGACAAGTTTGAGGCCCAGGGGGAAGTTAGCAATCTGCTGCGGCCGGAGGGCCAGTCTGGCCTCAAGTCTCATAAGCACACCTTCAGGCAGGGAGGGGGAAGGGGTGTTAGAACTTCACAGGTAATCCTCACACAGCCCTGGGAGCCCCATTTCACAGCTGACCGAACAACCTCTTTTGAACAGAGAGGTTAAGTACTTGCCCCAGGTCACATAGCTAGTAAGTGGCAGAAATAAACCTAAAACCCCGGTCTGACTACAAAATCCATGCTCTTGTGATAAACTATTTCAACCAAACCAAAAAGTATGAGATAATACCAGGTCCCCACCACTCTGCTCAATAAATGAAACATTACAACTATAGTGGAAGCATCTGACTCCTTCCCATATTATTACCCTGCTTCCTACACCTGGAAACGACCACTTTCTGAGGATTTCATTTGGTTCCACTGCACATCTTTGTACCTTTACTACACAGATGCATATGTACTTCTAAGCCAACAAAGATTTGCTTTAGGCTCTATTTTACTGTTACGTCAATCAGAGGTCCTCTAGGCTGGCTGCACGGAAGAAACACTTAAGGTACTTTGAAAAGCACCAAAGCCTAACCCCCTCCCCCAGAGTTCCCCGGGGGTTCTTATGGACAGCCATGAGATAAATGCACAAGCCCATCCCTGTCCACACCAGCTCCCTCCTCTCTCCTACACACTTTGGTCTGTGCTGACTATGGGCTTAGGGTAGAGCAGTGCCTGGGTTGTTTCTAAGGAGGCCAAGAGTATGGATGCTGTTGGTCCTCGTGACCAGTTGGTGGGAAGAGGCCAGAAAGAGAACCACAAGGGTAGAGAAGGAAAACATTGTCTCTCCTATCTTTACTGAGGCTTCTTATGTACTGAGCTTTGGGTACTGAGTATATGGGTGTAGGCTTTGGGGCTAGGGAGGGACAGGACCGAGGGCTCAGGAAAGGCTCCCAGGTGCTACTGATCCCCGAGTGCTCTTAGGGACAGCCCGAAGCCTGGCTCCAGAGCCCAGACAATTCTACCTCCTCAGGTCCCCATGGCGCCCAGTATCCTACCTCCATACCCGCCCCCCATGCAGGCTCCCACTGTGAGTCATGCCTAGAGTATAAGAGCACACGCACAGAAATAAACAGATGCATGTGTCACTCTCTGACCATAAGAGAATACACGTGTGCACACGTGAACATACACATGGGCAAAGCCTACCTCAACAGAAGTAGGTGCCCACAGTAGCAGCATAAAGTCGATGTGAAGCCTGGCCCAGCCCTATGGAGTGCAGACGCGTCTGCCCCAGGCCAGGCTGCCTGGGGTACTACCAGGGCCGCTCTGAGCCCTACAGCTCTGTCCAAGGGCCCTCTGCCTTCTCCATGCTCTGCCCAAAGGGCTAAGAGTGAACAGCATGCCTCATTCAGACCTGTCCTGAGCACAAGGGTCCCAAGACAGAACCTATTCTGGTGATGGCCCGAGCCCCTCTCCATGGCAGCAATGGCCAGGGCCCCCAGGGAGCCTATGGGCAGAAGCCTGGTTCAGCCTGTGTTCTGGTTCATCATCACTGGCCCTCATGAGAGGCAGGCTCTCTGGAAGCTTCCCCTTTCCCTCCTCCACTTGAAACCCTTCCTTTGCGGCTCTCCCCACTTGTATTAAAATCCTTTCCTCTAGGAGACCTCACAAAATGCTCTGGGCTCCAGAGAACCACTTGGGAAGTGACGTAGAGCCTCAGTTCCATATGTGCAGGCAAGGGGCAAGCTCTAGTGACAAACCACAGCAGAGTAGGGATGAGGGACAGCCTGGAGAGTAAGAGGAAATGAGTGATGATGCCCGCTGGATCTACCAGAGCTGGGACCATGGTCTTCTTTTCAACTGTGGTTGGAAAACAGGAGCTGGCGGGTCTCAGAAGCCAGGTGCCTGGAGAGAGGGAATGGTTCTGTGCAATTTGCCCCCATGCTTGGGGCTAAAGGAATGGTGTCAGTGTGGCATTCTGTGCCTAGAATGCAGCTCCTATCCTGTTGTGCCATATACCAGCTGGTGTGGCTGCTCCCGTGGGCAAACCCCCGAGAGCCTGTGCTGGGCCCAAGTGCTGCCTGAGCCTGGCAACAGCCCTCTGAGATGGAAGGGGTTATGTAGGTGTTGGCAGGAACTGAGGTCGGCTATGGGACAACCAGTCCCTCTCAGGTCTTTATTTACTCTGAAAAGTGGATGGTGCTCTATAAGAGTGTCAGATTATCACCTCTCCCCGCCCCCTCACTCTAACCCCTCCTCTGTCCCTAGGCACCCCTCACTACAGCTGTCATTCATCATTAGCTGTGACTGTCACGGTTGGAACAGCCCCTGTCAGGCTGCAGAGCCAGGAGGGGGCAGGAGAACGTCAGATGACTCAGACAGCCTCAAAGGACAAGGATAGGCATGCAGAACCTAGAGCCTAGGTATAGGAGGCACCATTCTAGATGCTCTGCCCTGACCCTTTCCTCTGCCAGAGGAGAAAGAGCAGCTCAGCAGAGCTTTCTCACAAGCCCCCCTGCCCTCCCACTAGTCAGGCTTAGAGAAGGGCTGGATGCAGAGAGAGGCCAGGCTGAGGGTATCGGCATGGGGCTGGGCAGGCGACCGGTGAGACAGACCCAGTGTTCTCTGACAGAAGGATTTTTTCCCTGCCAGTGGAAAAGGCTTTGCATGGAACCGTCCACAATTCTTTGCTTTGCCCAAGGGAAGTGTCTGTGTGTATGTGTGATTTTGCAGAATTAGCCATCAGACTAGCACCTGATGACCAGCTAACTTCTCAGCAAGGGCTTGGATAGGACAGAGCAGGCTAGAACTTGAGCTCCATCTCCTGACTCTGTTCCGCTCTCAACAACTTAATGAGCACCTATTGATGAATGCTAAGCCTAGAGGGGGGTCAGCAGGGGTGCACAGGGAGCCAACAACCAACTAAGGAAACTAAGCTAGATGCAGCCTGTCAGGGTGGCCAGAGGTGAGGGCCATGAGTGGGACACAAGTGCTGGAGGTTTAGAGGAGGAACAAGTTGCATACAACTGTGCAATCAGGAGGCTGAAGTTGAGTTAGCCTCTTAAAGGCCAGTGGTCAACTCCAGGGCCCGTCCGTATCTTCAAGGTGTGCAGTAGGAGATAAGAACAAGAAGCAGCTGAGTAAATGTGTGCCTGATTTACATCTGCCTACACAGAGGCAATTTTCAAGTTAAAATGTTGTCAGAGGGTTGTCACAGTTTTGATCTTTCCTTTCTGTTCTCAATCCACCCACATTTTCTAGTTGGGTTGGAAAGGGGAGTGAGGGGGACAGAGCCTGGTTTAGATTCTGAGATTTTTGGAATTGTTAAAGTTAAACAGGACTTTTTAAAATGATCTAGTTTTTTCTTAGGAAAATTCAGGCCCAGAGCCCAGCATCACAACTGTTCCATCAGATGCAGAGCCTTCAGGGGAATTAGAGAGAGCAGGTCAGGAGTTCTGCAGTCATCCCCAGACTATCTCTTGGTGTTGCGGCTTGATTCTCTTTCCTGCATAGTTCGGAGATGTGAAATAATCCCTCTGCTCACTCCTTCCAACCACCACCCTGCTCCACCGAACTCTAATGGGGATTCAGCACCAGGCTCTACCCTGGCCTTGCTGTTGACTTCCTCTCTGACTGTGGGCAAGTCATTCTCTGAGCTGCCATGCCCACTTTCAGATAGAACATGACAGTAAATGTGAAAGTGCTTCGGAAGGTAGGTGTGACATAAATGCCCAGGTTATTATTTGTGCTATAACAAAACCATTCTCAGTTCAGAAAACACAAGAAGGCAAGCAATCATAGCTTCAGTGTTCTTGAGACCAGAGTAGAAAGGAGGCCAGAAGGGAAGAAAGATGGAAGAGGGAAAAGGGCTGCTTACCTGGTTTCTATACTCTGTTCACTGACATGGCCCAGCCATCGCCAGATAAAGAAATGTGGTGAGTGTGAATTTAAGCCAGGCATCTGGTGTCTGTAGGGCCCAGGAGGTAGGTGTGGGAACTGGCAGACAACTTAGGCAAGGAGCACTGACTATGGATCATTTGCTATCTTCAGACCCGTCCTGTCCCATATTTTCACTAAAGTCTTGAATCCAGGGGAACTAGGGCTTATCAAAGAGGTGAACAGAGAAGGGGTCTAGTCTGGGCTGACAGAATTCAAAATCACATCAGGGGGCCAGAGAGATAATACTGAACAAAGATCAGTGTAAAGTCCTCCACTGAGTTTGAGAAAGCAAATGTACAGGGCGAAGACCAATCATTTCACGTCAAAACAACATGGACATTTCAGCTGCTAAGTTCAGCACAGGCTAGCCCGGTGGGAAATGCCTGAGAGACAGGGGACCATGGCCTCAAGGGGCATCACACCACAGGCCCTAGGGGCCCCAGGCTGAAGGAGCTCACTCCCAGCTCATGGCAG